CTTCCTCATCCTGACAAATGAGATTATCCCAAATACCTCAAAGGGTGATTCATATTAGATTAAGAAGAAAACATAACCAAAACAAAGTCTCGTAAAAAAAAAAAAAAAAAAAAAAAAAAAACATCTACCATTAAGGGTGAAGGATATCTCTAACTTGATAGAAATAACCAACGAGGGGTTTGTCAATGTTGCTAGGCTAGTTTGTGGAAATACTGATATAAACATATAAGCCAAGGTGAACTCCTGTGGAGTTTGATACTGAACTCTCATTCCAGCAAAACTAGTAAAAAAAACAGAAGTTGGGTAGTAGAGAGTGAACTTACCTGCCAATGAGTCAAGCAGTGTTGATTTTCCTGATCCTGAAGGACCCATAATGGCCATGATTCGACCAGGTTCAGCAAAGCCACTGAGGCCTTTGAGCAACCTCCTTGTTGGGCCCTTCCCAAAGTTATTAGATAGCACCACTGATAGATCCTCCCACACCAAGCATGTCCCGTTTCTGTTTTTGCGCCTACTGTGATGACCAGCCTCTAATGGATTATCTGCTCTATTCGTGGCATCTATCTCCATATTTGATATTCCCAACTATACTGAGGATATATATGGCTTGAGAACATGTATATATATATATATAGTATATATATATATAGTATGAGCAGCTGATGGGGCCATGGGTGACAGCCATTCTTACAATGCTTGAATTTCTAATATTTTAACCAGAACATGTCATGTGGAGTGGTCAATGTTAATTATGATGAAGAGGAGGAAAAGAAAGAGTTGTACATGTTCGCTTCACCTTGAAACCAATAAATATATATAAAGATTAGGACTGAGCCCACTCACCTACAAGTACACGAACCAGTTCTCTCTTCTCTTTTTTGTTGGGTAGGTGGGAGTTGGAGGGGAGGCGGTGGAAATTGCAAGGTCTGTAAATGTCATTCATTTGTCCTGGCTTGAATTTAAATATGTTCCTATCCTGATTCTTATATTAATGGGTATATTAATGGATATGGGCATTGAAAATGGCGAAACAGGATTCATATAACCGACCCCTATATAATTGATTGATTATATGTAAGTATAGATAGGTAAGTAGAATATTTTATTTAGATCTAATCAATGCAGCTCTAGCACCCAGCTTATCTCATGGAAAAAAGGATCTTATTTTTTATTTTTTATTTTTTGTGATATAGATGAAAAGGATCTTATTGTTGCATAAAGATAAAGGAAAGTAAGGGTAAGGATAAAGTTTTCCTACCTTTCTCTTCCTTTCTCTACTTTTTCCTTCAAACCAGATACAGTCTAAATGAACTGTAGAGGATTTGATCAAGTTAGGGAATAAAATCCTATTTGGAGACTTCACCTAATAGTTTAAGCTTTAGGTTGGATGATTTTTTGAAATGGTAATGGAGCCTGTTTGACCAACGTTTTTGAACCGCCATTGATCCGGACGGTCGGACCATTCGGCCCATGAATCATCTAGGCAACTGGTTCCGTTTTACCCAAAACCCAGAATCTGGTAAAAAAACTGTTGAAAAAGTCAATAAACTGTTGACCCGGACGATTGAACCATCGACCCATTGACCCATTCAATGGTTTTTGACCATTTTTTTTTTATTTTTTTAATTTTGCTGTCAAAACGGACTGCCAATTTGAACCAGACGGTTGAATTGTTGACCTGGAAACCGGTGCCCAGAACGATTCTGTTTCCAGGTCATTTTTTAAAGCATTGTATTTGACCAAGTGGTCTAATGTTCAATTTTTGTCACCTCTAATATTAATTCAAACCCAATAAACTTTCATAGAAAGGAGTACATTATAGAATAAAAATCTATTCAGAAACCTCACCTAACAACTTAAGCTTTTATATTGAACATTTTCTTGATATGATATCAAAGCCTATTTAATCAGTGGTACAATGTACAATTTTAATCACCCGTAATAATTAATTGGAATTTAGCACAAAGGTATAGGTGAACCTATGCTTTAGAGAACAAAAGCTTTTTGAGGGGCCTCACCTACCAGATTAAGGTTTCAAGTTGAGATTCTTGGCGAGATCAAAAACCATGATTTAATTTGGCCAAGTTAGAGCTAGCTTTGAAAGTGATCTGTAACAAGGCATATGGCGGAAGATTAATTTTTTATTACATCGATCCATTAATTACTTAAATTTTATGAGGATGGATTTCAATACCTGGCCATGGAAGTCAGAAGGTGCTTTGTACTAAGGACAGCATTAGATGTACGTTTATTTTCAGTTAATATTGTATTGAGAGCTTGAAGTACAAACTCAATATACAATCTCAATGTGACGTTACAATAGATTTGACCCTAGAAGGAGCGACATCATAAATGAAACTACTAACAAGTGGTTTGGCAATTGGCACAGAGTCATTTCACAACCGACTTGGGAAATCAAGAACGCTTGGGGAAATACAAACAATCGATTTCACTAAAAATACAGAAAAATTGGGATATAGGTTGATGGGGCTAAAGTTTAAAGTATCGATATATATTGGCTCGTATCAGTCGATACGTATCGTTTTGGGACCTCTATGATACGTCCCTATAATGTATGTATTGGGGGTCTGATTGATTCAGGGGGTAGAGGAGCCTTAAACTGGCCTCCCTGAATCGATTTTGAAAGAAAATAAAAAAAAAAAAGCAAAAAAAAAAAGGGTATCGATTCGCCCTATGCGCCCCTACCAGCGTATTGATATTTTGAATCTTGGATGGGGTATTTAAAGTGATTTATATTAATATTATATATCACATATATATATATATATATATATAATGACAACTGTATGACATTTCAAAAAGTAGTCAACTTTGTCAAATTTTAATGTGCCATGTTATCACAATAGGAATAGATAGATTGTGAAACGCATTGTTGCCAAACACCCATTAAATAATTCAAATTTATATTCCTTTCATAAATGGGTCATATTCAATTTGTATATTGATAAGACTAGTTTTTTAGACTCTTGTTGGAGGGTCATCCACCTCCTGAGCCCAGATCTCCTATTGAAAATATCTCCTTAGATGTATTTCAAAACTTATCAAGTGATATTCCTGAAGGAGTGAAAGATCCATCATATGGATGGCCGAACCCTACAGGTAGGTTGGGTGAAATTTCAAAAATTTCTCTCTCCCATCTGGGAATCACATTCATTGTTTTAGAAAATTTGCATTTTCAATGATCAATCTTGAACTAAGAACCGAACCAAATCTGAACCAAAACAGTAGGAGAGGGATATACCTGATACGAAGAAACAGTATCATCCAATGAAAGTGTTCACGCCCAAAGAAGTCTCCAAAGACTGTTCCTACTAAAGATGACACAGTGTAGGGTGGAGCAGAATCAGTAGTGTTCTTCCCAAGAACCAAATCCTTTAGCAAGGATTCGATGGAGGCTGTGAGCACGACTTCAGATCAACCTTTCTCCAAAGACTGATATCAAGAAATATTCTTGATCGCTCCTACAAAACTGGATATCGAACTGGCAGTAGGCGGCAACTGGAGGAGAACACAGGGAGAAGATGGCGCAGTCACACTATTGCTGTCTTCTCTCTATATAATCTGAGATCTGATCTCTGGGATGCTGGGATGGGCTGAATGGTTCGCCCCCTCCTCCTTTTATAGACTTAAAGAGATCAGCTCCTAATCACATTAGGAGTTTCCTGATTCAAATAAGATTTGAATCTGGACTCTCTTTATGTGATAAGGATAAATCCTTATCTTATCTGCAGATTAGATCAGCTATCTCCTAATCTCATTAGGAGGTTTCTAGATCCAAATCTGTATTCAGATCTAGACTCTCTGAGTGGATAGGGTAAGACCCTATCCTATCTGCTGATCCAAATCCCAGATCTGCCCTTCTTTAATTAGTCCAACTAAACCAGTTTGAAATGGGCTTTAGGCCTAATAAGTCTTATGTGCTCAGTGGCCTTTCAAATTGCTGCCCAGTTGGGCTTCTTTGTATGGCGTGGGACCCAAACATTGATCTACACATCAGCCACATGGGTTCAACCCAGCCTCTGTTACAAGGCCTGGCCGAATTCACTGAAAAGACAGTGAACCCCTTGAAGCCCATCA